AGCCAATAAAGAGCTTTTTGTGTGTAGTATTTGAGTTTCCTACTAGCACTAAAATTTCAATCCAGTTTGAATCCTTTAATATCTGGGGCAGTGAATGTTTCTCCAGCTTCTGTGTTTGCATTTGATGCTGCGTGTCAGTGCCTCTGCTACACAGTTACACCCACTTGCCAAGTGGTTCACACTGATCATAAAACTCCTCCAAAGCGTTCCATCATGCACAGGCTTTTGAAAAGCATTCACAGTCACCCCTGCTGCCTCCTCCTTCACTCAAGTCACTGTAACATGGCACTCATCCTTATAGTGGTTCCACTACCTTTAATGAAAATTGATAGTCTCACAGACATACATGCTGCCCACGACTATTGATTGAGGCTCTATAAATGTTTTATAAGGCCAACTGTAAGGGGCACCTTTTTATTTGGAAGGTGTCGATGGCTGAGTCCAGAAAGAGAGTGCCACAGCGTGTTCCTTCATGGGCTCCTGAATTCAGTGGTAGAGAGCATTTCCTCTAAAGCACACAATTTACCATCACTATTACTTTTAACAAAGAATAAAATTGATGAGGTGTTGCATCAAATAATGTGCTGCTGTATTGTTTTCAATGTGATACAGGACACGGATGATTTAGAAATTGCTACTTTCAGTTTTAATTTTGATTTTATATACCGTCCTAGCATTTTCTGATTTGGGGTTGTAACATATTACAAGAGTTGGATCTCCACGATTGACAGTGGTTTAAAAAAAAAAAAAAAAGAGAGGAGGAGTTGTTCACAGACGGCCCGTTGTAATGGTTGTCATGTCCGTGTGTGTGTGTGTGTGTGTGTGTGTGTGTGTGAGAGAGAGCGAGAGAGAGAGAAATAGCATGGAGGGGCTAAGCGAAATACCTGTGCTACATTGAAATAAGATTGAACCTATTGTAACGCGGGCTGCCTTCTGTACTCAAAGGAGCCGCTCTTTTTTTATTAACACACACAGCACAATAACAGCAACAAAACTCCAGCAGAACACACAGAAAACACTGGCTAACAACCTTGCCAACCTGACCTAAATACCTCCCGCATCAAGTGGGCATTATGGGGGATCCTGCCAAGTGTCTCTCCACCCCCAATGCTACACTATTTTAAACCAATATGTGGTGGTCTGCCACAAATAAGCCATTGTATGAGAAACACTGCATTGTTTCCCACCACCTCTTCCAGTCTGTTGTCCCATATCTAGTGTGTGGTTTTAGAACAACAAAGCTACACACACACACACACACACACACACACACTGTAAGGCTCAGCATTGTCTATTTTAAGCTGAACCTTAGGCTTCTCTTGTGCCCTTTCTTCTTCTGGCTGTTCAGAACGGTGGCACCATTCCTCAGGAAGTGTCTTCTTAGCACAGCAGGAAGGAGAACGTTTGCCCCTCTGGATCCAGAGTCTTTGTTTTCATCTAATTGCATTAAGTGACTGGCCTAGTGTTTATATTTGACTTGTATTTATGTCAGTGTGCGCTCACACAGTACTCGGTTCTTCTCTTACAATTCAGACTGCTAGCCACTCAGGGGTTAAAATTTTCTGAAGCTTTGCCTACAGATTAGCATGCCTAGGAATGAGGAAAATCTAATGAGACTAACTGGACTTGGCTTATGTGGCAGCTAATAGTTAATGAGTCCCTATGGATTTTCCCTTTGATTGAGTAGAGAGGACTTCAGCTCTCACACATTTTCTCACGGGTTGAAAATGCCTTGAAAAGTGAACTTTGATGGCATAATGGAATAATAATGGCCTTGAATGTGTGTGTAGGTAGTATGTCTTCCAAGGACTACCGAATGCAGCATAACGTGTGTAACATTACAGTTCTCTTTTTGTAATTTGTTATCACTGTACAGAATCCCATTCATCCTATGTAGATACAATCACCGTACACACTAGTGATGGGAAGTTCGGATCATTTTACTGATTCGTTTCTTTGAATCTCGTTCAGCAAAATTAACGAATCTTTTTCCGGGTCATTTCGTTCACTTCAGCAGAATGTAATTAAAATGTTACATATTAATTCCCCATCTACTTACACACATATTGATCACGTTTCGAATAAAAAAGAACTGTAATGCAGCCAAGGTCATATAATAAGTAATATGGTACCTGTGTCTTGAGGCTATGCAGTCTGTTCATCACCTCACCTCTGGATATTTTGGGTCAAATTCGTTTGGTCTTTTGTCACATAACAACCTAAACTAAGCTATGCCGTGCCATGCCGTCTTCTGTATAGTATACAGAAAGATTTTCCCTGATGGAGTTTAAAGCATTAACCAACTCTTCATTAAAACATTCAGTGTTATGGAAAAGAATCCTATTGACAGATATTCACAAAATTATAGTCTGTAGGACATAAAAAGCTATTTTATAATAAAAATAAATGCATCGTGTAACAGTAAGAGTAAAAAAAACTGTAAACACTTGAAAATTAACTAATTTCTGTATCCAACAAAGCGGTCATGTCACGTTACAAAAATGAACGACTTGAAACCAAGGACTCAAAAGGTGAACTAATCTTATGCGATGTTGTGCATTTGCGGTCAACACAAAATGAACGAATCACTCACCGAGACGACACGATGTTCTCGAGTCATGGGAAAGATTTGTTCAAAATGAATGAATCGTTCATGAACGACACATCATTAGGACATATAATCTCTCCAACATGCCCTGGGTCTGCCCCGAGGCCTTCTACTGGAGGGAAATGCGCGGAATACCTCCCCAGGGAGGTGTCCAGGGGGCATCCTAAGCAGGTGCCCGAGCCACCTCAACTGATTCCACTCATCCGACATGGTAACAAGTCAGCCTACAGACGGGAGGTTGAGCAGCTAGTCCTGTGGTGTAGCCGCTGAACACACTCAAAACAGTGGAGATGACAGTGGACAGAGCCCCCCATACTTGGCAGCACTGTATCAGCAGTAAAGTCCTTCAAGTTCCTGGGCTCCACTATCTCCCAGGACCTGAAGTGGACGTCTAACATCTGTGAACGACACATCATTAGTACACACCCAAAAGCTCTTTTTAAACTGTGTATATAGGTAAATATATTAATCAATTTTTTTTTATTCTATTTTATTTGGTGCACATCGGTGGCCAGTGAACTGGAGTCATATTCCTTGTATTGTTAACATACTTGGCAATAAAGATTATGATTGATTGATGGATGTATAAAAAGTACAAACCAGAAGTGGCCAGCTTTTACCAAATACTGAGTTGGCTGTAAAATGTTTGTATTCATTGTATGTTTGCAACTGTTTCACAATTAATGCCATGTGTCCTCGAAGTCTAATGAAAGAGTTTTACTATGAAACAGATGCACACATGCACATTGAAGTGGATGAGCTCACATTGAATAGAAGGTATTTCTATATAATATAAAATTTTCATGAGTAAAGAGGCAAAGTTAAACATCTTTTTGCCTTTTTAACACAACAGGAAGGAGAAAGGTAATATTTTTGAAAAGTGTAAAACAACTCACCAACTGTCATTTGATTCAAATGTTGCTGTATCCTGATTGGTGGTCATATTTTACTATCTAACCTTCTTTGGTGAGCACTGACTACCGTGATATACACACACACACACACACACACACACACACAGTATCTCTGTCTTTGCCTTACAACACATTCGCATAAAGAAACGAGAAGCTGTTTACAAAGATGGCTCAGTAACGTCTGTACATTTTAGATGAATGCAGCTATCTGCTAAGCTACATGTTCCTAAAAAGCCACACTTTTTGCAACATGAATGTCAAAGTGAAATGGATCCACCAAACCCTGTCTCATACTGAAGTGCATTATTTGCGTGAGTGTATGTGTGGTATGGTCGGAGTGAGTGTGTCTTGCAGCTGACAGGTCTTTCAGAGAGACAGGGCGCAGTGTCATGTAGCTGCAGCTGCCCCCTCTCTGTACGCTCTTTGATGGGGAGAGAGATACTCCCAGCTCCACACACACAAAGACCTGTTCTTCCCTCTGTTGTCTCAACACTACTTGAAAGTCCACTGAGGGACACGGTGGTGCATAGGGAGGGCGTGTTTGTGACTTTGTTTATAGCCATGCTCTATATCATTCTACAGTATCAGAAGAGCCTGTATATTCATGTGAGTTACATCATCGTATGTTTCAAAGCAGTTGGTGAAACTGCTTTGTTATTGGAGCTCCTTATAGTGGCACCCATGACACCAGCACGTTTATTGGAGCTTACACGCACACACACACACACACAAATAAAGGCATCCATTGTTTAACCAGCCTAACAGACAAAAAGATCTCGACCGTTACCCCGTTTATCCTGTGTTTATCTAGCAAATATAGCAGTCCCACCTGTTCCTTATCTTCACTGTGCATACACACACACACAGTGTTAGGGCACTGCTGCAAAACTGACAAATACTGTACAGTAGTTCATATTAAGTTGTGTTTTACATTGCAGAAAAGAGCTCTTTCAAATGATGTTTGAACTGAACCTTTCTGGTAGGACCAGGTGATAAATCCAATTTCATTTGCTGCTATAACTTTGGCTAAGTAATCACTAATTTCCTCTGAACTTTGGCTTCATCCAGCTGCAACACTAAAATATATTTGCCTTTATTTTACCTTTTTTGTTTTTACATTTTTGTTGTTCAGTTGAATTGTATTTGATCAGAAAGAAATCTGTTACAAAGATATGTTTTAAGTTTAATAAATGCATGATGTTTTCAAAGGAAGTGAATGACTGATCTCAAAATAAATGTGATTATGATTTTCGATAAGATGAACATTTATTAGTCCCACAATGGGGAAATTCACAAAGCTACAGCAGCAAAGGGATAGAAACAAGGAACTCAGTGTTAAGAATGGGAAAAGTAACAGATAAGGTCTTATCAATATATCAACTATAATCAAACAGCCCTGCTTTCTACAGTAGCAAACTGGTTGTATTTTTAATGTTTAACTAATGACTCCCTTTTCTTTGCCTTTTTCATCTTACCAGGCTTGGATGACAGCCTGCAGCAATATGTGAGCAACTTTGAACGGGAAAAAATAAGTGGGGACCAGTTACTAAAGATAACACATCAAGACCTGGAGGAGCTCGGCGTGGCCAGGATTGGACACCAGGAACTGGTGCTGGAGGCTGTCGATCTGCTCTGCGCACTGGTCAGTAGAGCTTTGTCACTGACTGTGTGTGTGTGTGTGGTATTTTTCTTCAGGAAGGATTTATATCAAAGCATGGGCTCCCTCCACCCTCTTGCTCTCTGCAGCCTCATTGACCAAAAACTCTGACTGTAGTTGTGATTCAGCAGCTAAAAGATCTAGCAGTGAAGAAGAGCTCATCATTTCTCACACAGCTCAGAGGGGCGTTGAGGCACCATAAAACAAGAGAACAGCAATGTCACTCAGAAGAGGACAGAGCAGATCTGTAGGGGCTCTGAATCATTTTGGGAGTTTGAAGCTGAGAGGGATAATTAGAGGCAGTTAATGGTGGTTGTCATGTTCCCATTCTCCTTTCTCACACACCAGATACATACTGTACATACTGTATATCCATCCATCCATTATCTATACCTCTTATCCTGAAGAGGGATGTGGGGGGAGGGGGCTGGACAGTACAAATATTTCAATGATTACATTTCAGTCTCTATTCTTCCTAACAGTCTGACAAATGTCAGGCTAGTCATGATTTTTATTCTCACTGTTGTACCCGTCTGCTCACGTGAGCCACCTCGCTTGATTCAATTGAAAATCCTCAGTTTGGTGCTGATCTGCTGATCCAGCAAATCTGCTCCCAGAAGAACTGCCAACAAAAATAGCAAGCAAGAAAGGACCAATGAAAACCATTTTCTAACTGAAATAAAAGCAGGTCTTCCAGCAGATGGGATTGATTTAGAGCTTTATCACTTCCTGTACTTAAAAGTCCCAGATTGTGGTCTCTTACATTTTGATGAGTGTCAGCATTTCTGTCTTAATGATCTCTAAAAATGCTTTACATTAATCGTTTGGGGCAAGTTTTTTTCCCCCCTGGAAAACTTTAAAGTTCAGTCTCTTCTCTCCAACATGTGGCTGCATCTTGCTGTGATGCTGATCAGAAAGCTGAAGGTCAAATGGGTTTCAATCAGCTTCAACATCTCAGAACACTAAAGCTAGGAATGGGTTTTCTTAGATCCTGAGTAAAGCAGGCACACCCGTGACTTATTAACAACCAACTCTCATCACGTAGCTCACATCTCATTTTCAACCCTTGGCTCCTTTTGTGGATGGTTGTGTATCGAGTTAGAATGATGCAATTTGCAATGGCAACTTGTAGGTGCAAATTAAAGGTAAATCACACTCAACCAAAGGTAAAATCCAGAAGAAAGAGATGGATCTGTGGTGTGCTCAAGCAAAGTCCACATCCAAGGTACAAAGAAAACAGCAGGGCCACACATGCAAATCTGGAACAAATCCTCCACGATTCTAAGGGCCCACGAACTTTGGGGGCCCACAGACGGGTGAGGTAGAGGGCCTAACTTCAAATTTTTTCATAGGGCCCAAAACTGCTAGCGGCGCCCCTGGAAAAAGCCCAGGTGTTTCAGCTAGTAAATGCAACCTTGAATGCTATACTGAAGAGTAACGTCCACCCTATCGGTAAACATTGTTTCTTATCCTGCAAAAGGCAACTCCAAAAGACATAAGCAACCTGCCTTGTCTTCCCTACCTGTAACCATTGGAATGAACACATGGAAGTGCTCGGCACACACGTGTGCCTTTGTTGTTTTGATAGATTTACTCATTATAGAATATGTACCATCTGGTACATCCTGTCCTCTTTTACCATTAAAGTAACCAGGCCCAGATTTTTTGTTCACCCCTAGAACCTTTGCATCAAGACAGTAAAATCTCATGTTTTCCTCTTGAGCCGCTTCATATATTTGGCCTCTAAAGTGCTTCCTCAGCTTGGTTTTGTTATTTTAACTAAGTCCTTTTCCTTTCATGTGAATTTTAATTTCACATCAAAATGTGCTGTTAGGTTGTAGTGTGTTTGTACTATATAGTCATATGCAGTTTAGCAAGGAAGTATTTGGCACACTGTACTAACACCCTCCCTCTCTTTTCTTTGGCAATTCCAACAAGGAATGCCCAACTCTCAGCAACCTTTCACCTCTGACTGAAGCAGTGCTGCTAAAGGTTTTCTGTCCATTAGGGGTTTCTTTATTAGGAAACAAGACTTCAGCCTCCCACAGGCCTCATGGGAGGAAGTCAGGCCCCCAATTCAATTAGCTTTAACTGAGGCAAGGTCACTGCTACTGATAGCAACAGGCCTCCAGTACCGGAAACCCCCACATGCTCCCACACTCTTCCCCCTACACTTTCCCTCTTTTTGTTTACTGTTAGGTCAGACACTCCTGTTGATCTTTTTTTTTTGCTTATGAAGTTGAGTCATTTACCTTCATGTCCTGTTAGCAGTTTCAAACCTAAATCATAATGACAGATGGCTCAACATACAGCGCCCACAGGCCTATAGGAAACATTCATAGTCATGCTTCACTTCCAGCCAAAATCTATCAAGACCAAACTGCTGTCTAGGGACAAAGAAAGAACATTTCAGTTAATTTTACTGGACTTGTCTGAGCTGTGATGACTTTTGCAGAGTCAGTGTTGAAACTCAGCACTTCTTTATTTGTTCTCAGAGCCCTGTGGCTCATCTCCTCACGACACTCACACACACATTAGGTGTGTATCCTTTGTCAAGTATACAGCATGAGAGATCATCTGGCCACAGAGCTGCTGTAAATATATTTTTGCCATTGCCTAGGAGTAAATCTGACCCATGGTTTAATATAACACCCTGCCTTAGATTGCATATTCCACCAATACACACAGTTCAGACTACAAACATGAGTATCTTTTATAGTCCATGTAATGCCTGTGGTGAGGGCAGGAAGCATTCTGTTGTGATAGCCATTCTCCATTTCTCCTGAGGATCCTTATATCAGCATGTAGTCCTTTCGAAGTGCCCTAGCTGCATGAAAATAACATCTGCGGTCTTGATTCTAAATATAATGAATGTTTAGAAAAAGACACTGGAAGAATGTATATTTGGCTTGATATGTTCTGAGAATGGTTATTTGTATTTGATTGGAACCACAGATTTTCCTTAGACATGACTTTTAGCTCAGCTGGCAGTGTGGAACAATGGTTCAGTGGACATCTGTGGGCTAGTCAGAGCTGGTGTGACTGTGTGATTAGCCTGCTAATGAAAAAGCCAGGAGAGACATTTGATCTGGAAAATGCTCATGCTGCTTTTGTGCTACACTTCCACTTTGACTGTGTGAATGGCTGAGAAAACAGCATCAAATGATTTCTTCAACTTTTCTCTATGTTCCCTGATATTAACTGTACTACATTTAAACTTGCATACAACATTTGTTTTGACTAGTGCAATAATTACAATGAGTCCTCTGGGACTGAAATTAGTGAAATTATTTCTCTGTTTTTTGAGTGGAATAAAAGTAGACACTAAACACATGCAGATCTCCCTCATTGTTTGCCAGTCATGTTCCATTTTACTCATTGCAAAGCATATTTAGCTACTGGCACATCACTCATGCAGCAGCATTGCTGGCAGGACAGGAGCCAGGCTACCTGTTCTCTGCCTACCTTTAACCACCACATTACTACAAACCAATTTACCATAAAATAATTTCTTTAAAATATTTGCTCAGTCCCAGACACACACTTTATCTTCTAAGAATAAAGAATAAATGTGCTTCCTGTTTCAGCAGAGTACCCTGCAGTAGTTCAGTTCATACATGGTTTGTACCATATGTAGTGACCCCCAGAGTTCAAATGCTTTGTGCATGTGAATGACCTATAAATTAGAGGAATGCATAAGGTCAAACAACCCAGATTCAAGAATGCAATAGGAATCAATTGATGGCACAAGTACACCCTCACTGCTGTCCTCACATATCGGACAAGAAATGTTTACAGTCATTCATTTTTTCCCCCTTGAAATTAGAAATAAAGTACCTCCTGACTATAGCTTGTTCAGAGAGTTTGTTTGGTTTGACCCTGAGTTTGACTGACAAGAGTGTGTGCTTTTTTCCAATTTTTCTTTGACATAGTTTAAACTGTGCATTAATTTTCCAGAATTATGGGGTAGAGACAGACAACTTGAAGAATCTGGTGGTGAGGATGAGAGCTGCCACCAACAGTCTATACATGGCTACATCAGACCGTAGGAAAAGCCCTGCGTATGATGGCAGCACCTTGCGTAAGCCACCCAACGACTTCCTTACCTCTGTGGTGGAGCTGATTGGTACTGCAAAGAGCCTCTTGGCTTGGCTTGACCGGTAAATAGACTTTTCTCACCACCACCAACTGTGCATCTTGAAATAGATATCATCTATCAGAAATGTTGCCATAAGAGTATAACCACTGCATAAACTAGCTGCATATGGATATAAATGCATATGCAGGTATGTATAAAACCATAATATGACAGTGTCTGAGGTACTACTCCTTGTGCTGATACAACATTTGAACTAGACTTGTGGATATGATGGCCAAGCAGATATACACATTTGTTTTAGGTATAAAGACATCTAAAAACAGTTAGTCCTGCCCACTGGATGTTAGGGCAGATTTACCCTATATACAGTTTTAAAGCAGGAAAGCAGTCCCCAGTGAGCTGAGATTGGGCATGAGCTGGCGTAGAGCTCTGCTCTCCCACTGACCTGCTCCAAAACACATTACACCATAAAAGCAGAGCACATTAAGCAAGTTGCCAGGATTATAGTAAGTGTTAGCCGGCTGAAATTAAGCTTCTCGTTTGGTGGCAGGCTTGGCTAAAGAGACATCATGATAAATGGTAGAGTGCACTGAATGCGAATGAGTGCAGTATAGTATACAGTATCTAAATGGTAACAGTTCTGTGAATTAGTATCCAAGTGATAACATCAGTTCATAAATTCTTTAAAGGTTTCCTTAAAGAAATGTTATTTCTGGGTCATTATGCTTTAATTCTGTTTATTGATTTTCTTTTTACATCAGTACTTCTTGATGTCAAAACAGTGCTAATATCAAATTTGTATATTGGTATTTTTACAGCACAAAAATCTTGTGAGACTTAGTGTTATGGCAGCTAGTGGCCTCTGCTTAGATGGTGAGACTTTAGAATGTTTAGTCACTTTGTTAATAAATTCACCTTTCTCATCTCATGTTGTCTAGTCAAGAAAGCAACAAGCTATGTTATACAGGTTTAGGAATCCTTTGCTCTCCTCAGTGCTACCAACCAATGGATGTTTGTTTTTCTGTGAGTTTTGTTCATGTTCATTCTAATATGATGGTGCACACTGAGGTATTTCAAGAACTGTTTGGTTGGATTTGGATCCATGTTGGACAAACAGTGACATTCTGGAGTGACAACCATGTCTGTCTTTCAGTAATTAGAGCAAGGTTTACTGAGTCTGTTGTGAAGCCCAGTAAGTCAGTCCAGTCATATGTCCAGTGCATCCATACAGTTTTATTATTTTAGAGATAAATACAGTATAAACATCATTGTTTTGTACTGTACATAGATTTTAAAACTGTGCATTTATGCAGTTAAACCAGAATTGATTACAACTCTTCTCTCGCTCATTCCTAATGTTCTCTCTTTCTTTGTGTGTCTGCTCGCAGGACACCTCTTACAGGGATCAGTGACTTCACAGCCACCAAGAACAAGA